TTCCATCACTTTTGTAATAAAATTGTGGTAGCGATTAGCAGATATTTTTGATTTCACCACAATATAAATAGAACAAAATAGCTTTCTACCACGAATTGCAAATGATAAAACTTCTTTTGAAAGACTTTTGTGCCATAGTAGTTAATATCTTACAAGCTGTCTTCTGGTCGATCTTACTAAGATCGTACGAAAAACATTCAACGATCTTTGCCAGAATTGCCCAGTTAGTCGTCATATAATTGCTATGCCAATTATAAGTAAATACAATTCCCGAACCAACTCTTCTTGTGTTCAAATTGTACTCCTGTATTCCACATCAATTCAGTCTTTTTAAATAGTGAGTTAGTGCCCTATTTATTTAGGATGTAATATATATAATATTCTAAACATATGTGTAGAATTGTAATATAATGTTAATGTAGATTGTACGCTACATGGTGCTAACCCAGATCCTTAATCTGTATTAGCTTGGTAGCCTATTTTGTGTGTGAAGTAACTTGAGCACTTCTAACTCAAACTAATCGATATGAGAAAAAGAAATTACGTTTGATTTGTATTGTATTTTCTTTCTGAACTTAATTAAAATTATTTACTGAATAATTTGCATAATATTGAATTATGCATTAATTAACAAAAAATATTAATGCATTATTCACAAAATAATAAATTTTTTAATATTTCAAATTCATAATAATATGACACTTTCTTCAGTGCACTGACCACAAGAAAAACTGATGAAAACTGATTCTGAGCTTCACATTTGGCAGGACCCGAGTTCGATTCCTGGTACTTGCAGTCTCAAAAAATAATTATTTACGAATAATTAAATACAAGAATTATTTCCAAGACCACTGATGATGGGTATTTGGCAATACTCGAAACAGCTGTATGGTTAGCCAAAAATTCAATTAATTAAAATAATATAAAAAAAAAATAAATTTTTGTTGTTGTATTTCACTACTGTTCGAAAAAACCTCTTTAAAAAATTATTAAATAATATTAACTAAATATAAACATAAACATATATACAATAAATTATATATAGTATACATACTGTGAATTGTAAATAACATAAATTTATGGTCAAAAGTATGAAACTTATAAAAAATCTATTCAAAAAAAAGAAATTACTAGTAAGAAGGAAAATATAGAAACTACTAAATTTGTTCTTAAAAGCGTTCCGTTCTTTCTATTTGAACTACTATTATTAAAAAGATATATGATTTTATTGGTGTTTTCAAATTTATTTTATTTTAAGTTCAAAAGTACTGAAGCAGTTCTATTGTTGCTTACCTTTATGAAGCAGCTGATTATCACTTCAGTGAGTTCAAAACTGTTGCATAAAAAGAGTCACACTTAACTTACAATTACTACGGCATATTAATTGCATTTTCTTTTGCTTTGCAACTTCTTTCAGTCATCACTGATATATCAAAAATAATTTTACATCTTAGCACATATTACTTGATTTTAAGTTAAAAAGTACTAGAACTAAGTACTAAGATCTATTGATTGCGTGCTTTATGAAGTAACTGCTTACCCTTTTAGTGAGTTTAAAACTGGTGCTTCAAAACCCAGCAACCCTGTATAGTACTAGTCGCTTCATAGAGGCTCAGTTAGACGGCAGGTAACGCAAAAAATTAATTCAAAGCGAAATGCACAACCAACCTAACCTTAGTATTTATATACCTATATACCTGCCTATATAGTTCGCCGCTTTTGTTTATTTTGTTCCTATCAAATACGCAGGTTTGGTTGGTTATGCATTTCGCTTTCAATTAATTTCTTACGTTACCTACCGTCTAACTGGGCGTTAATGCAGTTTACGTTGGCTCAATTGGTGAATTTTATATTGAGTTGTCATTGCCGGTGTCAATTGTCCCCGTACGATGCACCGCGGAACTTGTCTTTTCACTAGTTCCTGATGTGGAAAATAAATAAAACGTTCATTTTATATATTATTACATACATATTTATTTTAATTTGTGTATATATACATATTAAATATTTTTATATTAATAAATTACTTTCTAGCTAATTGTGCTGCAGTTAAATCAAATTGTCTAGGGACTTAACTGATGATCTATAGATGATGTTGCAACCTTATCTTTAATTAAATTTCGTATCTTTAATTTATTCGTATTCATCGTAGCGTGTTTTAATGACTTATGTATATCGTAGCGTGTTTTAATTCTAGATATTATTATATAATATTATTTTACATATTTTTGTATTATATTTTTAAAATTATTTGCAATAAATTAGCAGTAAAAGCGATATTTATCCAATGTAAGTAAGACCTTATAAAATCAATATCTGTTAACATTACTTGATCTGAACTTAATAGGTTCACAGTCCCACTAAGCATAATGTTGTATGTTTTTACATATTCGCTCTATCGCAAATCAACGCTCTATTGCGAAGGAGGCATTTTATTAAAAACAAGAGAACGAAGCCTATTGCTCTCAATTTGTTTATACACAACAAGTATAAGCAGTGGACTTTTGTTTCAACTGGTGAATCATTGCATTACCAGGGATCGGAATATGTGATAGTGTTCCAAAATAGTTATATGTGGTTGAATTTCTTTGTTTCTCATTTGTTTGGTATTCTCTTCGTTCAAAAATAATAAAATGCGCTATTAAATTTTATACAAAAAAAGTATTAAAAAATTTATATATTCTAATTAGCGACTTAACACATCCCCACGAACCACACACCCCATTTCACTAGTTCCTTTGGACTACTTCGTGTACGTTACTAATGCCTAGCGACAAATGTCTCCTAAAAAACTGCTGGGAAAAGTCACACCTAACACACAAATACTACTGTATTTTCTTTTGCTTTCCAACTTCTTTCAGTCAATACTGATACAATACTGATATATCAAAAATAATTTTACATCTTAACACATAATAACATGCTTAACATGTTTTTAAGTTCAAAAATACTGGAACAGATTTAAGCAATCAGCTTACCTTTATGAAGCAGCTGATTATCACTTCAGTGAGTTTAAAACTGTTGCATAGAAAGAGTCACGGCAATTTCTTTTGCTTTGCAACTTCTTGCAGTCAACACTGATATATCAAATATAATTTCACATCTTAACAATATAGAAGCTATTATCTAACTTCTTGCTGAGTTCAAGCCTATCTGACACCAGTTATTTTGGGAAAGTATGGAAAATAAGAATAATTCGGCGCAGGTGCGTTTATCAGCAGTGGGCAAAAAGAGTAAAAGGAAAAAGTCACAAAAGCAACGCTATTGGGCTAAAAAACACCAACGTTTGCCTGAAATTTGGAATGGTGATCAATTTCGGACTAATGGTGAATCAATTCCTGGGAGAGAGGTGGAAAATAATAATAATAGTAGATTTGTCAGAAAGAGGAAATTCGCTGGTTTATTGTCCGAGACAACTCATGTTGAAACTAAAGGAAATAACGCAGCTGTGGCAGATGTAAGTAAATTAGTATTAATGTGCGTATTAGAGCGGTACTGATAGTTTTGTAATTATGTTATAGCACTATCCCGAGTGTTGATAGTAGTCGATGAAAGTTACAAAAACTTTTCCAGTTTATAAAAAAGTTTATACGTTTACTCAAATACGACATTTCACATTTCACTTTTTAGTAAACCAAAGCAAACAATGGTAGAATACATGTTAAAAACTAATCTATATACTAATTTAAGACTTGTTTCTATTACTTTATCATTGACTCCTTTGAAATACTTTGAATTTAGTGTTAAATTCAAATTTTTTAAAATATTTCCCACTGCAGCTCAGCTGTTGTTTCATCGAACAGCTCAATAATTATCAGAATAGTGATGCGGTACTATTTAGTCTCGTCCGTACAAGTTTAACAGTATTAGCAAGGTACATTATCAATTAAACAAATTCAATATATTTGTTTTACTTTATTTTTAATAAAATTATGTACTTTCTATATTTATATCTTACACCCGTAAGATGTTTAGGATCTTTTTACAACTGGTAACTATACGTTCTTGATGCTTACTCTATTTGCTGAGGTAGACTGGTTTCTCTTTTGAGGTTTGTTAAGTAGAAAAACTCGGAGTTTAGTTTTATTTTAACTCTTTGTTTGTCATTATTTCGTAATCCAACATCAGCTAGTACAACTTAATTATGTTAAGTTGTTGAAATGCACTTTCTTCTCATTACAAAATCATGAAAAGTAGATACAGTTGATCGTTATGGTGATCACAGATCACCGTAACTTAGTTACAAAAGCATGAACACCTATTTTGTTTACGAAATACTAGGCATTAGGTATTTTTTACATGAATACAAATAAAAAATGAAAAAATGAAATCACATGAGTAACATAATTTATACGAATATAACTCATGCGATTCCTTAAGCACCATGTTAAGCAGACAGTCATGGTAACGTCACGTTGGTTAATTTAGTTTTGTTTAGTAATAAATGTATAATGTAAGGCACAAAAAAGGGAAAATGAAAAATGAGGTAAATCTTGATATGGTTTCACTTCTTTATTTAAAAATACCTGTCAACCACAAAATATAAAGAGCTGAAATACAAGCAGACTATTGACTGGTGCAACCCAGAGAGCTCAATCAGAGCTTAGATTGGTGAAACAATAACTATGAATTGTCCACCAATTTTGTAAATTAGAGTTATGTAGTATAATATTCATTCACTAAATACAAATGAGATTCACAACTTAAAACTAAACTATTTTATAACATATTGAAATTAGTTTCACTTCTGTATTAAAGACGATGATTTGCTAAAGGATTTCCTGGAAAGCTCGGGACAAATATAGACAATATATATCATAACTATTGCACATGCTTGCAATAATTTTTAAAATTGGATTCTTTGAACACAATATTTTAACAAGGGAACAAGGGCGCACTTATATGCAATATTTTTAAACTGACGATGGTTTATTTGTTTTATATATGTTTTATATTTGTATATACTATTTGTTGAAAACAATCCTAACTACGGAATAGTATATATTGATTTTGCCTTACGTTATAACATATAAATTTAAACTCATTTGGATTAGTAAAACCAACAAAAAAAATGCACTTATTGTGTTCTTGAGACATGCAGCAAAAATTTTTCTTATTATGTCGTTGGAAAAATCATTAAAAGTTCCTATAAAGGTAATAATATTCAAGCTTTCTAAGGAGATCATCTTTACTCATTATCGACTCAATGTATTCCATTTTTCTCACTCTATTACTCGCCATACACCCCCGCACTATTACTCCTCCACTACCGTGTTTTATTGTTGAATACAAATCTTCATTATTAAAGGCAGTACCCGGAATTCGCCATATAATCGTTCGACCTTTAATGCTAAAGAGGCAAAATTTGCTTTCGTCTGAAAAAATTATGCGTTTCCAAAATTCTGGAGACTTATTTAAATACTCCCTTTCGAATGCTAAACGCTTCATTCTAATAGCTTTGGAGATAAGCGGCTTGCTTCGTACAAACCGGCCATGGTAGTGGTATTTTTTTAATATTTTGTGTACAGTATCCACGTGAATTTGCTTCTGGAATGTCTGGTCAATATATTTCTATAACAGAAGTCCAGTTAGACGAGGATTATCTTTCACTGAATTAATAATGCTGCGGGTTTCTCTTGTTGACAGCTTGGATGGACGCCCAGATCCCAACTTCTAGGTCAATAATCCTATTTAGTTGTAGTTGTTCACTACTCTTTGGATAAAATAATGTGACCGCTTAACGATTTGATCAATTTTGGGATACATTTTCCTTTTTTTCCATAAATCAATAATAATACTGCTTTCACTGATAATAATTTCTTTTCCTTTATTTGTCATTAAAAAGTTAATTACTTTTTAATCATTAAATTATAAAATAAGTGCGTGGGATTGTGTATAATGATATACTGGTACAGTAAAACATAAAGCACGCCAAAGTTCTACTATTAAAACTTCGGGAATTCCCCTTTATATGTTTTGTACGCAGACTTTTTCTGCCACTGATAGCGCTGATTTTTTACATTTTTAATTATTATAATTTTTCTACTAATGTGTTAGAAATAAGTTTTAGCTTAAAATAAAGTCAACTAATTAAAGTACAAACAAAAAATAAAATTGATTTAAAAAATTTATTTATATAATCATTTTTTATATGTTGAAACAAAATTTACTTTTTGTACGCAGAGTTTTTCTGCTAAGTGTATATCATATTACATGAAGATCGATAACAGCTTCATCACTTCAACACTTGTCTTCCTTTTCACACGCATTTTAGTCGACATCTTATTTTCTTTCTATTATAAAAATACAATTTAATATTAAAATTTAAAATGACTTTAACAAAATTCAAATTGTATCCCAAAATGATCAGTTTTTCAAAATTCACATTCTCTGATTTATGCTACAATAATTTTAGAAACATTGGTCAAATTCAACGCTGAAGGGTACGCTTTGGAATCCAACCCCAAAATGCTATGACATTGAAGAATTGCATAAATCAGAGATGCCCTTTATTGATCTTACTATGTGCCCACCTACTCCAACTGATCAAGTATGTACCTCAAAACAGTAAAAGAATATATTTAAAATTCAAATAATTAGGTTGAAAAAAACAAACTCAACATTGGGCCTCAATATTTATCCAATAATGAGGAAGAAAGTGATGTAGGTCAACCAAACAGGAAAGTGGATATTGCTACAGAAATATTAGCGGATACTAATGAAAGCATGTTTGAAGTGGTAATTTTATTTTGTCCTACATTCATTTTTAAAGCAAAAATTCTTAAATTGACCTACTCAAATATATTAACACAATTCTAGCATCATTTATTAAATTCCACGCCGACTGACAAAGTCGAAAACTCTATACCAGAACGCTGTAGAAGTGTTGTAGAATCAATTTCGAAAGTGTGGCAATTACTTAATCCCAATGGCAATTCCGTTCCAACTGGTCGGGTTAGTATTTCAAACCTAGTGTACGAGCAATTTATTAATACAACAAAAAAACAAATATAGGTGCAAAAAATCAGACTTAATAGAAGAATATTAAATCCTCCAAAAAGGACAATGGATACAAATTTCAAAGATAAACTGAACTTAATTGAAAGATCGTTGAAAAAGGTAAACACCGAAAACTAAATATTTTTATATACAATATTATTTATATTCACTTATATATATATAATAATACAACTCTAGAAATGCACAGAAACAAGCGATCATACAAGTACAGATATAAATAGAAGGAGCTATCCTGAGGATTCAAGTGATAAAGATTTGTCGAACAGTTGTTCGATTCAGGATTCAAGCACAACAAGCGCTGATGACTTGGAGTCAATTGCAGATCTGAACGAAAACATATTTAAGCCGGTAAGCGCCATAAAATATGTGTTCATTTCAATTTATTTGTAAGATATTGTAGGTGCGAGGTAATTGCAAGAAAAAGTTTGTTATGAATAAAACTGTAAAATGAAAGAAATTTGAAAAACAATTATTTCGAACAATTATTTGCAACTTCATATTTTATACAACGGAAACGTAAATGCATTGATATATTATATTGTGCTTGAAATAATTCCAAGATATATATTTTATACGTTTATATATGTTTGAATATAGTACATATATTTTTCATATATTTAAAAATTAATATTTAATATTATTTATTTAAAATTGATTTATTCATATATTTATTTATTTATTTGGATATATTTATATTATTCTTTTAAAACTAGTTAATTTTTATTCGCCACTGCTATGCCTAATGCATCAATAACTGTAACCATTTCTTATATGACATGAGATAAAATCCGTAAATAATTATTTATGTATAAATAGTAATAATAATGGAACATACATCTTGCGGCTTTCCATCACTTTTGTAATAAAATTGTGGTAGCGATTAGCAGATATTTTTGATTTCACCACAATATAA